TCTACTCACCTTTTTAATTATTTTTAAAAAAATTTTTTAAAAAAAAAATTTTTTTGGGTTTTTTTTTTTTTTTATTTTAAATTTTCCCCCCCCCCCCCCCCCCCCCCCCAAAGCTCTACCCCGCTATTCCAATTCGTTGTCTACTATGTACAATATCATTATATCCACCACCTCGACGCATTCTCATCTTTCTGATGGCTCGTGCGTTCCCAAACCTTCAAAGTTAACACATGCACACCAAAACGTACCAAAACGTACCAAAACGTTACCAAAAGCAATAAGCTCCTCTGTCAAACCTGTTCCCTTTCCAGGCCGTATCGTCTCATACCATTTCCATATGTGCGCGGTTCGGCAGTTGGACAACACGCAATCATTTCCCTCTTAAATTTATTCACTCTTTCTAATGTTGCCTAACGTTATACTATGATATTTATGTTTCTAGGAATTGAGCCTGGTTATTCTTAATTATCCTAAACACTCCACAGCATCGAGATTCGAGAGCACTGATTGGCATTTCCTAAAGGCGGTACTGCGCCATCCACTCGCAACGCCATCCACCCGCAACCCGTCGCTATGCCTCCGCCGGCAGTTCCAGAGTAAGATATCTCCAAATGGTTTTTTTTTTTTTCTCTTCTTTTCTATTTTTCTATTTTTTTTTTTCGTCGATTGCATCTTCGCTGCTAATAATACTCACTCTAGGATTTCGGAAGAGGTTCTACACGAATCAATCGATGCCCGTACCGAGACCTTGGTGTCATTGCGAGAGCTTGGCCCTCCTGATCTAGTCCACCTCCTGAAACAAAACCTCAGAAACACTGTAAAACAGGTATGTCCGATTAATCAACTTGCTAGGAATAATCGATACTAAATCTGCTTGCGTACATAGACAGGAGTATATCACCATGTTACCGGTGTCGATGCATCCTCCTCGGCCAGTCTCGCTGCTTATATAAATACTCTCACTTACAAGGAACATGGCCAAGTCGCCACACACAAGATAGTCGAAGGTCTATACTGCTGCTACAATGCATTCTCCAGGCTTGATATGCGTGTCCATGTCACCATTCCGGGAACGGTTGAGGCCTACTGTGTTGACGAGAGGGGAGAGAAACGAAAGGCGACAGATGAATTATGGCTGGAAACATATCTCTGTAGCGTTTTGCGTGCCTATTCGTACGCCGACGATGGGAGCGGCGATACTATTAGAAAGATTATGGGTGTGAGGCGATTTAATCCCGTCACCAACACCGAGACCGAGCACCGATTCTTAAGCGCTGCCGAGAGTCTCTTTTTCAGAGGTATGCAAACCTTCTTCCTCATGCGAACTCCAATGCAGATATTAACACCTTGTAGGTTGGCAACTAGGTTCCGATTCTGTAGTACAAGTTCCGAACAACGTATCCAACCACCTCACCACCGGCCTTCTCAAATATTTTCATACGACCGGACGCTTTGCTTCTGCCATTAACCTCTTCGAGAAGTTGAGGTCTCAGAATGTCGAGGTATCATCACTACTCGCCAAGGTCCTCTTTATGGGTAACGAGGAAGTACAGGGTGTGCGCGTGCTATACCAAGCGCTCAAAGACTCACCCATGGACTATGTCATGTTAGATACCCAGGCGGAATTTCTCCTCAAGAAGGCATTGGCAGCCGAAACTCCGGCGCAAAAGGAGGAAAGGCTGAAGATGGCTCTGGGTTGTGCGGATCGCAGTACGATCGCTGCACCTAGCGAATTCGGTACTTGGGCGAGGTTGGCACAAGTTTACGTCGCAATGGAAGATTGGGAGAATGCGCTCACAATCCTGAACTCGTGTCCGATGTTCACCTATCAGGATAAGGATGCGCCGGTAATGCCAGAGCCTAAGGATGTTTACCTTCCTACATTACCCGAGACGCGCTTAGACGAAATCGACAGCGAACCTGAATCTAGATACTCGGAGCAGGTAGATCCAAGCCTCCTCAACCTCCGCGCAGCATCCTATCGCGGTACCTTCAAGCTAGCTTACAGTATTCTCACCGAGATGACGGCAAAAATTGGTTGGGACCAGCTGCTAAAAATACGAAGCAACGTTTTTGTTATGGAGGATGAGTACCGGACAGAGAAGCAGGATACAGTCTCTCAGGCGCAGTCGACAAAACGCAACCCGAGCATCGACGGGCTGCGAGGAAGTCCAGAACCTGCGACCAACGGCGATCAAACCGACGAGGAGGCTGACGACGAAAAGAGCGCAGCCGATACCGACTCTAGCGCGCAGAAGCTAACCAACGGCCACGACGAAGGGGACGACGTAGAGAAGCCAACTCACACCATTGATCCTGGCGAGGTCAAGGCCGACGGAGATAACGTAAGTTTGACTTTTTCAAGTTTTAGAAGACTAGTATTAATGCGACATCTGCAGAATGGCACCACCGACGAGCATCTCTCGCGCTTAAATAATAAGCGGCTATGCGAAAGATGGCTCGATAGCCTCTTTATGGTACTCTACGAAGATCTCCGTGTCTACACGATATGGAGAACGCAGATGGCCCAATACAGGGCTCAATCTATGCAGTACAAGAAATCGGCCGAAGAGTGGGAAATTCTTGGTGCCTTAGCGGAGCGCCTCCAGCACCACGACGAAGCAGTCGAGGCATACAGGGCTTGTCTCGCAGCGCGGTTCAGTCCGAAGGCGTTATCGGGTATCCTACGAGCGTTCGAGAAGCAGAAGATGACGAGAGATACGATAGCTGCCGTTATCCGTCTTGTAACTTGGCAGTACCGTTGGTACTCTGAGTTTTCTCCCGAGCTTCTCCATACGATAAGGGTGTTAATCGAAGAAGAGGGTGCTGTCAAGGTGCGGTCGATCATTCAGGCGACAAGCCTACCGCAAAACGTGCTGGATTTGACACATCACTATGCCGCATTATGTGCCACGTTTAGAAGCAGTGGTACAGACGGCTAATGAAATATTGGGATGAGGATTAAAATACTGGGGGATGAAGCAATGCCCCTACATGATATCCATCTATTCGTACTTCATCAGTGTAAGACGTAGACAAAATTAATATATGACGCCAAACTTGACCATCAGGCGCCAAATCACCATGTCTTTTTTAGCTGAGGTCTTCCTCTTCATAGGACCCTTTTCTGAACCCTGCTTCTTGACATGGAACTTGGTCCCATGATATAAGGGGCTGTTAATTGTATACCTCCTATATGTGCTTAAGTCTTTAACACATGGAAAAACAAATGCGAATTGAGATAAAACGAGGGTGATATGTAATTATGGGTGACTAATGTTGGCCGTTGTAGGTATGATGTAATTCATTTTGATACTTTTTACTTGTTTGTACTTACATGGAAAACGTAGTTCCGATCATGTCATTATAGCCTCATATTGTTATGGGAGAGCACATACTTGCTTCCTACGTAGACTCTGCATACCTACCTACCTAAGGTAATCTTATCAATCTAATCAGACCCAGATCCAGATCTCCAAGGAAGTGAAGGGATCTCACATCGCCGGACCCCTTTCAAATTATTCAGATTACTAGAGCTGCCACGATGAACGGGAGTTCGAACCTCGATGTGATGCTGGTAAGCTTTTTTCATGTCTTATTAATCTCGACTCTTTTTTTTTTTTTTTTTTTTTTTCTTTCTAACTTGTAATCTTCCCGAATCCAAATCGAAGCTATATTCATTCTAACGGAATAGGCGGGAGGCGCCGCAGCTTTCGTCGTAGACTTGATTATCTATCCGTTAGATACCCTGAAAACCCGCCAGCAAAGTCAAGACTTCATCAAGACTTTTGCCGACCCGTCTACTAAGACCAAATTGCCCTCGAGGCAGCTCTTCAGGGGCCTTTATCAGGGTATAGGCATAGTTATAGTCGCCACTCTGCCCGCTGCGGGAACCTTCTTTACCACCTACGAAGCTACCAAGTCGTTTGTGGACCGTCACGGGTCGCCCTTGGGTCTCCCGCAACCTCTGGTGCACTCAAGCGCATCTGCCGTCGCCGAGTGCGCATCGTGTTTGGTCCTCACTCCCTGCGAGGTCATCAAACAGAACGCTCAAGTATTGCCGCGGAAACCGGGCAGCTCGCATAAATCCGCTTCCCTTCAAGCTCTAAAGCAATTAACCGCCGACGGCACGGGCGTAGGCCGGAAGCTGCTATCCGGATACACCGCACTCGTAGCCCGGAATTTACCTTTTACGGCTATCCAGTTCCCCATCTTCGAGTTCATTCGTTCCAAGATCTGGAGTCGGAGATCAGGCACGCCGGCCCAAAGCCAATCTAACCAGCGGTCCGGCGCGACGGAGAAGAAGACGCTGTTCGAGACGGGACTTGTCACGGGGACAAGTGCCGGGCTGGCCGGTAGCATCGCCGCCGTGGTTACGACCCCTATGGATGTGGTAAAGACGCGGATGATGATCGCAGCCGGGAGCAGCCAGGACGTAGAGCAAGGTTCCCGTGACCGGACGCAGACGTCGCAGCAGGCAGCCAGGTACCAAGCACGGAGTGGACTCGCCGTAGCACGCGAAGTTGTTTCGGAGAATGGCATACGAGGACTCTTCAGGGGTGCGGTTCTTCGGGCTGTATGGACGCTGGTCGGTAGCGGGCTCTACCTGGGAACGTATGAAGTAGCAAAAGTTTGGCTCTCGAGAAGAAATGGGAATAATAGCGAAGATAACACGTTTATTTAATGTAATGAATAGCGACCTGCGTCTGCGCCTCTGTCGTTCCTATAAATAAAAATCCCTTGCGGCCGATCGATAATTCTATCCGCCTTTCCCTCTTTCCTTTCCCTTCGCTTCGCTTCGCTTCCCTTTCCTGGTATCTTATCCTAGCCTAGAATCTTCGAGTTGCTCGACAATTCGAAGATGTCAAATCGTGTGCGGAAGAACGTTATAAAAAGCAGAACGTAAGGAAAACTATCTAACAACAGGGGACGTCCCGCCTCCCCTTTGGCCAAAACAGGTGCCTAACCTAGGTACCTATCTAGGTTACCACTCGTCATCCCGAAATATACACCATCCTGAAAAGCCCAGCCGAATCACCCGTGCTGGAGATTCGAGGCTGGCAAAAGTTAACATCCCTGATCACCACCTCGTTCCCGGCTTGGTCCTTGCCGCAGCTAACCTCGCCTTTCCAGCAGTCGTACTGCGGCGTGAAGGCGTAGAACGCCACGGTTCCCACCTGCTGCCTTTCCCCCTCCGACGACGCCGTGATGTTGGTTTCCGTCAGGGTCGTGCCGGTCTCGTCCATCCAGCTCTGCGCGATGTTGAAGTTGATGCCCGCGGAAAACTTGGATTCTACGATAAATTCGATGCCAGCGTCGATTTTGACCTGAAAGCGGGAGAGAGAGAGAGAGCATTTTGTGTTAGCGAGATAACGCCCGGAAAAGATAGGTAGGTAGCAAAGTAAATTCATGATGGACATACGTCAACCCCTTCCTCGGTCGTCCACGAAAACGACTGGAAATGCGACACGGCCGTGCCGACCATCTTGCTCTGTGTTATCGAGTGCGTGCAAGCCGGGGGAGCCTCGCAGGTCTGCGGCCTAGTAACAGCTATCTGCACACCGTCTTCTACCGTAGGTGTGGCATCGTAAGACTTGACTGTACAGCTCGGGGCCTTGTCGTTAGGGGTATCCTCGGGAGACGGATATTGGACTTCGATCTCCGCAATAGAGCAATCATCACGGCCGCAGCAGAAGCTGGTGATCAAGTCGATGTTGGGCTTTTTTTTCTCCTCGTCAGAAGCATGTCCCAATATATCAGGTAATAGACTCTAGACTTACATTGACAGCCGTGTAGTAGCAACCCTCATCAGACACCCTCAATAACTCGTCTCCGGGTAGTTGGCTAAGAGATTCCCATCCTCGCTGAGTGTTCCTCAACAGTATAAACTGACATGTCGGGTCTGGCTGCTGCACTTTCCAATAGACAAACTGAGTCCCTGTGTCCTTTTCCCAGTCCCCGGTAGCTTGCGCGCCGGGGAATGTTATATTGTCGTAGTTATGGCCGCCGTTGAAATCCCCCCTCTCTCTCAGAGCGTGGTCTATAATAAGCTTACCGCCGTCGATCAGCTGCCCGTCGGCCCAAATGTCAAGACGCTCGCTGCAGGTCTTTTCTTTGAACGCGACAAAGCCAGCCTGGGCTGAGGCGAGCGTAGGCAAGAGCAGCAAGAGGGAGAGAAACTCGGTGGGTGAGAGCATTTTGGATGTATAAATAAGGGCTTTTCTTGCTGCGAGGTAGTAGTTATCGTTCAAAGCTGCAATGATTCTAAGTTGGAGTTCCTGAAGACAAGCTTTTTTCCAAAGAGTCAGATCAGGAGTTTCTCACTCATATATATATACCTAATATATATCCAACTTGACGGGTGGGCAGCATTCGTTCTTCATATTGGAAGACGCGATATCGGGACATAGCAGATGACATTATGACGAAATTGGAAGGACCCTTTCCTCATACCTTACACGACCAAGCCATACCGACGAACTTAGTTTCCATCATTTCCCCTGTATCATCGATGTTGCATCTCCTTCTTACAACCAAGCTACTAAATCGGCACACGTGGTTCCCTTTCGTGGCTAGACGATTGTGTGTTTCCACACCGTTCTAGAAGTCAGCAAGGATGTCGATCCGGGAATATGGGTGTGTTCTATTATGATGGCCCTTCCAAGCGTACCTTAGCTTTTGTCTGGCGGTTTGCTACCCAGCCTCCGCAGATTCGAGCCCCGACATACCGTTACCTTACCGCTTTCTTATCGGGCTATTTCCATTCGCTACTGTCTTCCAAATAGCAAATACACAATACATCTTTTTAAAACCTGAACCCCTCATGGAGCCTCGAACTATAGTGAAAGGCCGTGCGAAGTGGGTTCCCGGCAAATCTGCCCCCATTCAGGAAACCTGGGGAAGAATCTCATTACGGATACAGAATCCACAAGGGCCAAGATCACACATATACAATACCTAGGTACCTGATATTACAGTTAGGGTTAGGGCTATAGTCGTCAATGAGCTTGCCTAGCATAGTACATCTATTATATTCCAGGACATTATATCGGTGATTAGTCCTCTTCCTCATGTCCCACGACGGCTCTCCTGATCTCCCCCTCGTATAACGTACAATCTCCATTGCCTGATTGCTTTCAACGTCACACCTCAAAAAAGAACGTTATCAGTATAGGAAATTAGTCTCGTATGATTCGTTGGGGGAGATCTAGCAAAAAGCTTGACTAAACCTCCCCACAGGAGAATAGCAACCCACGCGTCTCCTTTTCGGTAGTGGTACAATCCATCGGGCCTGAGCTTTTTTGCACGCAAACATTTAGCAAGAGACCTCCTATGATGATAATATGTGGATCTCCGTTCCGCGAGTTCTATATTTGTGCTACGTGACCCAGTTTATAGGGACGCTAATAAGATGCCTTGGGTATATGTGGTATATGTGGTATATGTATGGTGGACCATAAGGAGGAGGCTGTGGACGAGTATCTATTGGGCTGACTTTTGACACGCACCATAGTAGCCAACTAGAGACTAGACAATGATGCTGACAGTATGAATGGCATAATTTCGATGCAATCTATTCGTCACAACAGCAGGACTATTCTCCTACTAACGGAAAAGGTCCTGACCGAGCCGTACGACTTAACTCGGTGTAATTTTAAATCATTGTTATACTCTCTTCCCACATTTCACTCCTTTGGGAAGTTGCCTTTTTTTACACGGAGAACTCTTATCTTGCTCTCTACAACACTACTCCAGCATGTTTGCGTCACTAAAGCCGGCCAGCTTTCTTTAGAGGTTCCACGGGTTCAGGCATTCGAAACACTACCTAGACCTATCGTCGGCTTAGAGGAAGCTATTGTTTGTCCGAAAGTAGCAAGATGTAGGCTCTATCTTGTCTTACTAACCTGATATTTTACGTCACCTGGCTAAGCTTTTCTCGGATTCTCGAGAGCCAGGTATACGAGACGTTCTCATACGTAGGCCAATTATGTTCACTTCACAGCTTCCCCGTGGGGTTCGGATCCTATGAATACCCATCTCGTTCGTAGCGTGATAATGAAGGTTCCGATGAGAGGAGGGCATAGGTTTATTCTCTAGTCAACCTCAGACACCGACCTTTGTGACATGAGGCTAGCACTCGTTTAAGCAGGTTACCTGACACACTTTTACATATTCACGACATGTAATAAAAGTCTAAGGGGGGGATCTCTTAGCTGAGCGGTTTTAGATAACCGACCAACGTAGATGAAATTAGGGCACGTAACAGCAGGCTGTGAGGTTGATGGTGGAGAGAGTTTTCGGCTGCCACTCATTAGTAGCCTAATGAAGATCCTCTTCACCGAGCCTCTCTCTTGTGACATTTTCTCGACAACGTAGCTCTCATACTTCTCTGCGAACCCCCACAGCCGTAAAGATAAAGGTAATCCATCGGAATTCGACGATCAAACACATTTTAAATAATACTCGTACGATTGGCCCGGCTATGGTGCCAATTAGGCATGGAAAAGGGTTGAACCGGAGAACTACTGCGTCTAAGGGGGTATACCGGGAAGCCCAACGTTTCTCGCTGCAACATTGTCGGTATATGATATCCCAATAATACCTAGATGTCGAAAGGCCCAACCTACAGTTTAAATGTTTCAAATTAGATGCATGCAGAAGTAGGCACGTGGCGCTTGCCAACGTCCTACACATGAGCTAGGAGGTAGCCAATACTGATCGAGTATATAGACACGCGGCAATTAAGCGCGACATTCTGACACCCGCGGGTAGAGGAAGCGTATACCGAGAGATAGAAAAGACAGATGTAAGTTTATAACACAATTACCTAAAAGTTCCTAGTAACAGTAGGCTCAAATCGTTTCTAATAGCATTCTTGACAAATATACACCAGCCTTAGCTTCCTAGAGGGCTACGAATGATTGCAAAGGTACTCGAAAATAGACTACCACTTTGAGAGAGTGCATATTCAAGCCAGTCAATGAACTAGTCTTGTGTCCCAGAGGTCATTGCCTGATATTCAATGGGATGCCACAAATACTGTCAAGGTTTGAGTAGAGATAATTGTTGCTGCACAAAGAAGGAAAAGGGAACCAGTAGGTAGTCCCTCATCTAGCTACCTTATATATACGATGGTGACCCACCAGGGTCTATGCTATAGGACCGTACCGTGACAAATATCTTACTACAGTGGCGTAAAATTGGTCTGAATAATGCTATAGTTAATCAGTAGTAGAAGATATAATACCTCTCTACCTAGGTATTTATGTCATACCTAACTCATAAGCGATAGTGAATTTGTCTATTTATTACTATTTCAAAGATTGTGTATATCTCCGGAGAGTCGATATAATGACAGCAGTTTCTAGGGTTAGCTTTTAAATCATTTGCGACTCGGACGGATTAATACCTAACTTTGGTAAAATATCAGGTGGGAGGTAGTAAGCGTCTAACGTCTCCTCCTATGCGACTTAAACCAATGCGAAGATTGTCTATTAAACGAAGATGGTCGATCCACGAGAAGGTGAGCGATGCTATATAGCTAGGATTAAACGGCAGTCTGATGCGTTGACGAACCCCTTAGTCTTATAATCTACAGGGACCATATGGTCCTTTAATATGTCGAATCAAAAGGTACCTAAATACGGAAGATACAACTTGGACTTTTAAGCTTAGATCTACAACCGTAATATCTCAATGATAACATCGTCAATATTCCGGGACGATCCCGCGGGGCGACTCGGTAATAGATGAATCGGGATTTTTTCTTCTTCTCTTGTTTACCTTGATTGATTATTTTCTCTCTATTTTTCTTTTTCTTTTTTTTTTCCTTCTCGGCAGCTATTGAACAAGGGTCAAATATTGAGCTGTCGTTTCCGAGGGCAAGTTCGACTCCAACGACCTGGATCAGCCGCGCAGGGAGATTCGCATTTTCCGATTCGCAGGACCCCAATTCAGGCGGATTGGAGCTAAAAGGTTACATTCGCGTGGGACAGCTGCGTGTGGAGGGATCTCGAGAATCTACCTAACCTAAGGTAAGGATGCTCCGAGCTACATAGGTATGTTACCGGCATCGGCATCGGCATGGGCGCCGCAATCCCTTATGTCTCTTGGCAGTTGGGATTTTTTCAGATGCGCAGACACATACCTAACACGCAGACACCTCGGGGAAAATTACTTCGGAATATGCGCGCAAGGGGCAAAGAGGGACAGCAACCCTTGGGACCCTTGGGGATAATCCGTCAGGGCTTAGTTCATACCAGGTGGTTATTATCCGCCGATGGCGATCTTCCTGCTTTGGTGGTATGCTTCGCATTATCTGCATTATCTGCATTATCTGGGATATCTAGAGCCTATCGACTATGCGTGCATCACTGTAATCCGACTAGAACGGGGTGATAATTGAATTGGTTGGATATCATCTACGAGCATAATAGACGTTGGAGGGGGGTTACAGAAGTGAGAAATGAAAAAAATAACGAAAGAACTTGCCAACGCCACAATTTGATCATAGTAGTCGTGAAACTTTGGGTAGAGAATTGGTTGATTGATAGATATCGTCGTATCATCTTCTTCGTCGTATCTGGTGGTCTGGTAGTTATAGCATATTATAACTTGGTTTGCGTTTCCACGTACCATGTAAGTAACAGCCGAGAAACGTGAAGGGTTGGCCCGATCGACTCCGATTCGTCAATTCGGATACCACGATCTAAGCATGCCCGATATTGATATTGATATTGATATTGATATTGATATTGATATTGACATTGATAGTGATAGTGAGAGATTAGGTATGAACAGGAGGTAGACACGGATATCGGGATATACATACCTACGTTAGGTAGGTACGTATTCTAATATATGAGCTCTATCAAACACGTTGTCTATCAAGATCGAGGCCGCATTGGTGGGTTGCATGCTACATGCCGCATGCTTGCTTGACTAGCAGTTCTCTCAAGCAGCTTGCATGAGACATCAGATTGATTAATTGACTCTTCTGTTCTAGGGGTCCTGTAGGTTGTAGGCTGTAGTATGGTCCCCTTTTTCTAAGATATCAAAGTTAAGAGGTACTTAACCTACATAGGTACCTAACCTAGATATGTAAGGAAAGAAAAAGAAGCGAAAGAGTGAGTGATTAATATACCAACTTTCACTATTCACTTCGAGAATCGTGATTCTAGCATGACTTTAGGAACTGGGATTGTCTTACCTGGCTAAATGCTAAATGCTGTGGCCGATGGTATCAACGGATTGCGGGATGGCGCGATCAGTTCCGCGGTGGAAAGCGCCCCAGAAAAATTCTATCTATCAAACTTACACACAAAGAACATAAGCATTATCATGCAGCTGGGTCCCGCTCGCCATACCGCCGAACGATGGTAACTTGAGTAGATCTCCTTTGCTTTGTCTTGTCACTTGTCAATGTGACTGTGATATACTCATCCGTCCATTTAAGCCTGATAGTCACGCTGCCCTGAGAGCCATACTTACATCACCTTATGATTCTTAGCCGTCCCTACCTAAGGGATAAAAACCACCTTAGAACCCTTCCTTTGGATTTAACGTGTCGTATCTCTTTAACTTTTCTTCAACTTTCCCATAAAGACAACGTTCCACCTCTATAAAAATCGAGTTGTCGCCCTATCCGCTCTTTTAGCCAGCCAGCCAACCAGCCTAGCGTTTTTAGGGACTTTTAGGAACTATCCCACCAATATCCTCAAGTATGGCCGTAGACCAGGTGCTACCACACCTTGCAGAGCTGCCCTCTATTAGCCCTCGCGAGAAGGAACCAATAGAGGTTTCGACGCAGGAGGTTGAGGCACCTCTAAGCGATAGCATTGCCGAATCCATACGCGACGAACACTTCCTAGTCCAGTCGCCATACACCGAGCAAGAACACCTGCTCGACTTGAGAACTCTAGATGCCGAGAGCGCGCTGCTTGCTCAGGCCCTCACTCGGATGAGGAGCTTACGGCCAGATTATGCCACCGCGGGCTATGCCGAGACTTTCAACTGGAACGAGATTATCGAGGAATTAACGCGACTCGTACGAGAACGCGGCCACAAGTGGAGGGAAACTTCCTTCTTCATTGTAGCTTTCCGGTCACAGATTCCACCGACAACTGTGTACGAGGATCTGGGGGCCCTGGATAAGGTAGCACACGCCGAAGCGATAGCCAGTGGTGGCTTTTTGAAGTAGGTGTTCGTTCCCGGGAAGGGTCTCGCGGAAGACGCGCGCTAACAGATTCCAGATATTGGTTCGGGCGTCCCGATAAGGACGGCAGAAACCTTGCTACCTGCGTGTGGAGGTCGCAGGAAGAAGCTATCAAGGGAGGAGTCGGACGTGGACATCGCAAAGCAGCGGCGGCCACCCGGTCGTTGTACTCGCATTGGAAAATTGACCGGCATAGGCTTATCATCCGGGAAGACGTGCAGAGCTGGGAGATTATTGACTGGGAGTGAGGACGTAGGGTTACACTGGACTGCACGGTGATCGCCCGGCATGGTTCGTCCTCACGTCCTTCAGATAGAGGAGACCCGTTGTTTGGCGAATGGGAGCAGTCCGCGGCCGAGAGGACCCTCGACATTGTTTGCCTTTTTCTTTTCTTTTCCTTCCCCCCCCCCTTTCTTTCCTTTTTGCTTGTGACTTTCCAACAAACAAGATATCGGTTATCGGCTGTCGTGTAAGACGGCGATAGAATAGATAGATGATAGACATCGGGCGTAGGGCGTCTTAGATAGGACTAAGAGGAAAGAAAAAGAGAGAGAGATATACCTAGGGTAGACTATGCCTTTCCGTACATCGGAAGTTTAGCTTCCCTCTCCTAATTGAGGATTTGATATACACGAAGAAGACCAGCATTATTTCGAGTAGCGTAAGTTGATGGTCAATCCACTTGGGTTGCAGGGTTGTTGTCAAAGCCTAAAGGGGGGGTAAGGGGGTAAGGGGGTATATGTGTATACCTACCTAGGTAGGTATGTTGGCGACAACCCTCATCGTGCACTCCTCACTCATCTTTATATGGATGGATGAAACACAACTAGCATATGACGAAGTGAAATAAATTTAGGAAGGGGACGACGTTGCTTTGAGGCTCTTTAAATATGTTTTTTTTTGTGGAATGTCGACATGGAAAATGACAACATGGGCGTGGGGGTTCCAAAATGCAGAGTGGGATGTTTGTTACTGTTACTTCATTCAGCAATTGAAGCGTTGATGCATTGACGCCGGCGCTGCGCCGTCAGCGTCTTTCTTTTGGGGTAAAAAGCGCTTTATCGCATATTCGCATATTTGAACTAACTATTTATGTTATTTGACTTACCTACGTAGTACCTGGCTTTATCTGTTTAAGTATATTAATCGAGATATCGAAACCTGCGGGGTAATAGGTATGGCAGTTCCCCAGGTGTCACCCAGCTGGCAGCAAAAGGTCCGTCCCTCAATCCCCCGATTTTTCCCATTTTGTAACCCACAAGAATACAAGAATCGCATCCCACTAAAACCTCAAAATCTTAACGGGCAGATTCGCCAACTTCGTCACCCGCAACAACCGAACTCCATTCCATTCCCCCCATCCCGTATATCCGCCAAAAGACGCGAATATCTATCCGGTCAAATTAATTCGCGATCATGGCCGACTCCCAAAAGGATGCGCCGTTCAAGACGGTTCAGGTTGAGTCGTTGGTTAGTATTTTCTTTTCATTTTTTTTTTTTTTTCATATAGCTTTCCTTATTGATATTTAACCCCCCTCCATCCAACTTTGGATAAACCTATATCATCATACATCATGTCGCTAGTTACTGACTACTACGCCCTATATAGGTTGTTATGAAGATAGTTAAGCACTGCTCAAACAGCTTCCCTACGACCGCTACGGGCTCCATCGTTGGTATGGACAAGGATGGCGTCCTCGAAATCACCAATACTTTCCCGTTTCCTACGGTTGATTTAGCGAACGTCGAAGGTGGCCACCAAAACGATGCATCTGCTCTTGCCGCTGCCGCACCGCGCGCCAAAGCCAACATCATTTACCAGAATGATATGATTCGTCATCTCAAAGAGGTCAACGTTGACGCCAACAATGTGGGCTGGTACACGAGTGCTACTATGGGTAACTTCGTCACCTCTAGCTTCATCGAGAATCAGTACCACTATCAACGCGAGAACGAAAAGACCGTGGCTCTCGTCCACGATGTCAGCCGTAGTTCGCAGGGTGCGCTCAGCCTTCGTGCATTCAAGTTAACCCCCAACTTCATGGCCGCTTTCAAGGAAGGAAAATTCACAACCGAAAGGTGAGATTATAATAACAACAATCATGCAAGGGCTTAGATACTAACGCAGAACAGCCTGCAAAAGTCGAAACTATCCTTCAAGGATATCCTCATTGAATACCCTATCCACATTCACAACTCGCATCTCCTCACTTCCTACCTTCACCAGCTACCCGCCCCCGCCCCCGCTCCCGAAACTGAAGTGTCCCTGCCGACATCTCTTTCCGATCTGCAAGGCGACTCTGTTAAGCTGCCTCTTCACCCGTCGGCAGATAATCTCGACCTTTCCATAGATCCATTCCTTGAGAAGACGTGCGATCTTCTACTCGACAGCATCGAGTCTCACTACACCGAGTTAAACAACCACCAGTACTACCAGAGGCAACTTGCTCGCGAGCAAGCCAAGATCACGGCATGGCAGACGAAGCGAAAGGCGGAGAATGCGGCGCGTGTTGCGGCTAAGCAGCAGCCTCTTCCGGAAGATGAGTGGCAGCGAATCTTCAAGCTTCCTCAGGAGCCCAGCCGGTTGGAAGGCATGTTAAATGCCAAGCAGGTCGAGCAGTACAGCAAGCAAATAGACGGGTTCACAGCCAATGTCAGCGCCAAGATGTTCGCTGTTAGGGGAAATCTTCTTCCTGAGTAAAGGTTTATGAAAAGGGAAAAAAAAAGGGGGAGGGTTAATTGATATAGATGCATGCGGCCCGGCGTCCGGAGGCGTTTTAGGGTTTCTACTTAGGGTCTGTAGAGCTGCGTCCATCGAGTCATTCTGATACTTCTTCTATTTGACTTGTTGCGAGGTTAGAGCTCTTACGTAGCATAGGAATTTGAAGACTTGGAACTGAAGTCAAGGAAGGCTTAATGTCATGCCTTGTTCTGGGGGGTCATGTCATGCCTAGAGTGTCCGTAGGATGCTAGCGTAAGCATTGATATATATGCATTCGCTAAAATAACCCGAACGGACAACCTATCGTCGGGGAAGGGGGTTAGGAATAATATTGCTCCCGAATTTTTACGGCCGATGTCCCTTTTTTTCACGGCCGAAATTCCACGTTTTCCTCGTTTGCGCCGCATGTGTATACCTAGGTAGCCTTAGGTACCTTAGGTACTTATACATATCTAACTTGATGTACTTAGATTAGGTACCTGTACCTAAGGTTAGGTACCAAGATATGCAAGTAGGAAATATCCATCTTTGCATATATACTAGTTATGTATTCAGTGCTCTGCACGCTTTGAACTTCTGTCAGTTATCAGTTAATTAATGGATAGCTAACTCTTTCGTAAACTATGTGATTGTCATAATCTTATAAGTGAAAGTGAACAATGGAAAGTAAAGGCGACGCCGCCAATCACCAAATGCTGACAGATCTTACTCTGCAAATCCTACGTGGAATCCAACCTTGACGGTCCCGAGTTCGTTCCGTTGTTAGGAAATACCTAGGTACCTAAGCAGTATGAGGAGTGGGAAGAATGCGGGAGATGTGGGTATATTTGATAGAGGATGACCTATGAAAAAATAGATAGTAGGAGTGGAAAGGCAAGTACCTAGGTATTTAGATGGCAATCCGTGCTGCACGGAGTTACTAGGTAAGATTCCAATAGCACACCCAAAAAGATTTGCCGAGTGGATGGATGAGGCGGGATGAGGGGCATTTTTTTTCAGGGACCAAATCCTCTAATCTAAGATAGTATTAGCGTCTAAGCCAGCAATCAGTATCAACGAGCGCCAACACCTCAATAGACTTTTTTTTGTGAGAAAGAGGGGCTGAGGGGTAGACCCGGAGCTGATAGAGAGAGAGAAAAATACCTACAGCTTAGCAGCTTTAACACCTTGTAGGGTAGGTACATATTGAGGTACATATTTAGGAACATCTTTGGGTACTTTAGCTTATCTTAGGCACTTTGCAGTATTTTAGGTATTTTAGGGTACCTATTTTTCTCCTCCGTCCATTTTTCTTTCCCTTCTTCTCCTCCTCCATCTCCATCTCCCTCCTTTCCTTTTACTTTTACCATTCCAATTTACCTCATTTTCCCGTAGGGCATCATCTGTAAGTCCAGTTCCTATATACCGAAATCATACACTTCAACCAGATATATACGACCATGCGAAGCTGGGCTATATTCTTCGAGTTTCACTTGCTAACCTTCCGTCTTACATAGAAATATCCGTTCTTCCCGCCAGCTCATCCCTTCACCGCCCCTCACCCCAGATAAATTATATCAGTATGTCTTACTACCCGGATCAATACTCTTTGATCGTACCGCGACCAGGATTGCTAACAGTCTCTTAGAGATGGCTGCTCCCGCTAGCAAGTTCAAGGTCGCTGACCTCTCTCTTGCCGCCTTTGGCCGCAAGGAGATCGAGCTCGCGGAGAACGAGATGCCCGGTCTGATGGCTATCCGAAAGAAGTATGCCGCAGACCAACCTCTTGCCGGTGCCCGCATCGCCGGTTGCCTGCACATGACTATCCAGACCGCCGTCCTGATTGAGACCTTAACGTCTCTCGGTGCCGAGGTTACCTGGACCTCTTGCAACATCTTCTCCACCCAGGACCACGCCGCCGCTGCCATCGCTGCTGCCGGTGTCCCTGTCTTTGCCTGGAAGGGCGAGACCGAGGAGGAGTACAACTGGTGCTTGGAGCAGCAACTAGTCGCTTTCAAGGATGGCAAGAAGCTCAACCTGATCCTCGACGACGGTGGTGACTTGACTCACCTCGTCCACGACAAGTACCCCGAGATGCTGAAGGACTGCTACGGTGTTTCCGAGGAGACCACCACTGGTGTTCACCACTTGTACCGAATGCTGAAGAACAACACTCTCCTAGTCCCCGCCATCAACGTCAACGACAGCGTTACCAAGAGCAAGTTCGACAACCTCTACGGTTGCCGCGAGTCTCTAATCGACGGTATCAAGCGCGCCACCGATGTCATGATTGCTGGTAAGATTGCCGTCGTTGCCGGTTTCGGTGACGTCGGTAAGGGTTGCGCTATGGCTCTCCACGGAATGGGTGCCCGCGTCCTCGTTACCGAAGTTGACCCCATCAACGCCCTCCAGGCTGCTATGGCTGGCTTCCAGGTTACCACCATGGAGAAGGCCGCCCCTATCGGTCAGATCTTCGTCACCACTACCGGCTGCCGAGATATCCTAGTTGGCTCTCACTTCGAGGCCATGCCCAACGATGCCATTGTTTGCAGTATGTATACACTTACTCTAATAGCCTTACTCGCCTAGTATCTAATCATTTTATACAGACATTGGTCACTTCGATATTGAGATTGACGTCGCCTGGTTGAAGAAGAACGCCAAGAGCGTCCAGAACATCAAGCCTCAGGTAGACCGATACCTTATGCCCAACGGCCGACACATCATCCTCTTAGCTGAGGGCCGATTGGTCAACCTTGGCTGTGCCACCGGCCACTCATCCTTCGTTATGTCTTGCTCTTTCAGCAACCAAGTTCTCGCCCAGATCATGCTGTTCAAGGCCCAAGACAAGGCTTTCGGCCAGAAGTACGCCGCTTTCGCCAAGACAGAGAAGCTCCCCGTCGGCGTCTACGTGCTGCCCAAGGTCCTAGACGAGGAAGTCGCCAGACTGCACCTCTCCCACGTCAACGCCGAGCTCACTACCCTTACCAAGGTGCAAGGCGAGTACCTCGGATTAGAGCTTGAGGGTCCTTTCAAGAGCGACCAGTATGTTACCTTCCCTCCAACGAAAGCTTGTACTTCTTTTTACTGACCAAATTCTGCAGCTACCGATACTAATTTCAACCTTGTACATCAATCACTGAGGTGCACGTTTATCAACATTCTATAGTTAAATACATTCGGGTTCATAAGTCAACTCGTTTTAATCCCCTTAATTACGTGGGGGATAGTCTGTGTTTCAACAAGCATGAGTCTACGCATCAACTGGCATTGGGGAAATAGGGCATGAGGAATCAAAAAAAGGGCCAGGAGTGCCGGCAGGTCATTTTTTTCAACAAAAACGGCGTTGGCATTTTGATCTATGACATGATTCCCCTCATGGCGTTTTGAGATTTGAAAGACTGAGGAAATAAGTCGGACCAAGGTTCATGCAGCTAGAGAAAAAAAGAGCTGAGCAATGATTCATATCCGTCAACCGGATCTGGATAGAAAATAGAAGCAGCCAGTGCGCATTTTCTGTCTAAACGTCGTCCAGCATCGTCCGCGATTTGTGATATGCCCAGGGTATAGAAAAATCCCCTTATATTTCAAATGGTACGCGTATTTCTCAACACAGCTTTCCCAATAGCCGAGGAAGGTCGGGGTAAGCTTCGTGAGTATGGCTTTTGTTGCTACCATTTTTTTCGATCCGTTAAGCTCTCCCCTGTACATTCAACATGAAATTTCGATCAACACAGTCGCTGTTTTGGTCTTCCCTTGCCTACCTCCTACCCTTACTAGGAGGTAGTTAAGTCATTGAATTAATTATTCGTAGATCCTAACAGGGTTTTCACAGCAACATCCAACTACTAACTATAGGTGGGTATCTATCCGAAATCCATTTACTATTATAATTTCTATATTTGCCAACAAAGGTCCTCGCCTCGTTCATGGAGATGCATGCCACCGATGCCACCGATGTCACTGATGTCTCTCTACTAGACCTAAAACAAACCTCAAACGATGAATATAAACAAGCAAACAAATAAATAAATAAACTTACGCTAAACCTGGAAAAACTTATACAGAGCCGTCAAATGGTATACCCTCGGGTTTATTCTTTCTTGACTGGCAAGCATCAGGTAACTTTTGATTTATTGAATGGATAGAAACAGAATAATAATAACACAAAAAGGGAACGTTGATCATTCAATATCTCAGGTCCCCTTTTTGTGCGTCGCGTCAACATCGACACACACACACACACACACTCTCTCTCTCTCTCTCACTGTCTCTCTCTCGCCATACTCCGTTGATAAGTTAGATGCGTTCCATCGATTCCTTAGAGATATATATACTTACACCGACACGCCGCGCCAATTTTGTATAAGAATCCGTCTCTTTTTATCTACCGTGTAAATAAAAGAAAATTCTATGATGCCGCCATTAGTTTTGTTTGTGAAGCTTTTCTATAGCTGCGCGTCCAATCGAAACTTGATCCACGAAAGAGATACGAAGTGCAACACACACAAGGACGCATCTCCCCCCCTCGTACATCTACAAAGACATTCCTTCCAAATCTCGTGCCTAATAACCATCGATCCGTCGTCCCTATTATCAACAAATACCGGTCGTGGATGTCAAAACTCTGCCTTCTCCTATTTTCAACGAAGAGAAAGTGAAAACAGAAATACCCTGTATCCTACCATCACCTTTTTCTTTCCTCCAATACTCTTTTCAACACTTACTCGTACATCGTACTCGGTGACTAGGAGAAGACATAAACGTAGTCTCATTTTCGGGGTGCTTCGTAGAATGCCGCAACGCCGACTAGAAAAAAATAAAAATAAAAAAACCAACCTTCCTTATTCTAGTCCTACTCGCCATGATCCCTTAACTAGACATTCTTTCCACCACCACCCGTAGCAAATCTCAAAGGTGTTACAGGTGGTGATAAAAAATGGTGGATAGTTAAGGAGCGATTAGAGACAGAACGAAGAGGAAACACTACCATCTAAACACTCCGCGCTTTCGAATGCTACATCAAAAAGGCCAACTGGATCCCCCCATTGTGCATATTAATACATCGTCATAGTGGTATGGAGAACTATGTAGTTTAGCTATCTCCGCGTGATATTGCTACCAGGGGCGATAAAAGCCCGGACCGCAAGCTCGGAGAAGCGGCGAACTACATTAGTAGTACCCCCGGTAACCTGAGACTCGTCTTGAATGAACTTGCGAGCCACGGCAAGCTTGTTTTTCGGATCGGTCTCGTCAAGGTGCGGAGGCAAAGTGCTCTCGAAATCCGGGGGGAAGTTTGGTGCGAGCGCACGGATGACGGCAAGAGAGTAGAGGACATCTCGGTTTTCGCGTCCATCCAATAACTCGCGCAATTGACCGAGATAATAGTCACGCTGGCGCGTCATATCTACACCCGGCTGGTCTCTAATGCGGAGGAATTCAGCAAGTAGGTACCAGAACTTGAATTCCCTAATTCGGTGAAGCCGTATATCAGCGGCTGGAGGTGGTGGGTGAAGAAAATTTTGGTCGAGGTTATCTCCTGATAGAAGGGCCTCAAAAACTGCCACTCGATTTCGTGCTTCAGACCCGTCGTCAGGAGGTGGCAAATGCTCTCCAACATTAATCTTATACTCGGACGTATATACCAGCGTGGTTAAATCCCAAACCACTCGGAATTCGAGATTTGCCGAATATTGCATGCCGGCAACGTCGTTGGCATCCGTCTTAGCCATTGACTGTAAAAATCCCGCCAACATCTCGTTGACAGCTGTGCTAGACATCAAAGTGCCAACACCTTGAGGCTTAGTGTACCATTCCGTCTCAAAGAACTTTTCCAGGCCAGGGGCGTAGACCTGCTCGTACAGATCTCTTACTTCGGCCAGCTTCTCGCCATTAAGGGGCGACTCGAGGACCGGGGGCACGGTGCCTGTCATGCCCACGAGCTCGTGAACTTTCATCTTCCTTGCTGGAAACCAGAGTAAGCCAAAGTCTGTTGTCGAAAGGGGGAGACCACAGAATGCGAAGCAGAGCGATACAAGGGAACAAACGGAGGGCCACCTCTGAGATAGGACGTGCCGAATGGACTACGGGAAGGAATTGGGGTAATGGGCATGGTAACTTGGAAATGAGAAGGCGACGTACTCGTGGTTGTCAATACGGTATTGGTATCTAAAGTAGGATCGATAGCGGCTGGGTATTCGAGAGCGGGCTCGCCCTTGACCGACAACGCAGCTGTTCCCGCGGCTGTCAGGTTTCCGGTGAATGGTGCGGTAGTAGGAGTGGTATTAGATATTACCGGGGGAAGGGCAGCAGTATATGAGGTCTGGGATTGGGCGCTGCCAGACACAGACGCAGAAGAGGCGGGAGGTCGGCTTGATGATACGGAAGAGGAAGCGGACGAGTTATTCGGAGCTGGTCGGATATTGGTATGGTGTTGTTGCTGCTGATTCTTAAAGATGGGATCATAACCCAGGCATTCGCGTTTGGATTTCTGACAGTTTTTGCAGATAGGATGCTGCTCGTCGCACTGTAGGATGTGGATTTAGTATTTAGCTATAATAGTGAAATGCTCTTTGAATGCGCTCGACGAATAGTAAATAGAAATACCAAGAAAATGAACAAACAGGCAATTGAGTAGTTCGGGCGTTCATATAAAGGGCATAGAAAGATGTTTGAAAGAGGATATAAGTGAGGAAGTATAAGCGACAAAGTATAAGTGATGAAAGTATAAGTGATGAAAGTATAAGTGGTGATAGGCTAAAGGTGGGGGGAAATAAATCAAAATAAATAAGCAGTTAAGCTTTAGCTTCCTGAGCTACCCTAGAGCTATCTCAGGTAGGAGGGAACGTTAAGGATGGGGAAGGGGGAGGGGCGTTGAAAGAAACGTTCTTGCTTTTTTGGAGCTCTGGCTTTTTGGGGGTTTTTTTTTTAATAAGCTCCCGGTGATTGACAGACGTCAATTTTTTCAGGGAACCCCCTCCTGGAGGCTTTGTTCGCCTATGACCTGCTTTGCTTAGGTTGCTCAAGACTGGCGCGACGCTTTTACTTTGGTTTGCTTTGCTTGCTTGCACTTGCTCGCTTTTGCTTCGCTCGCTTGTCCGTAGCTCCTTTTCTTCTTAAGCGAAACCCCGATTCAAGCGTGCGAAAGCCAATCCATTGATAATTGACCAAAAAAGAAAATAAAAAAGAAAAAAAATCCCCAAGCATCTTTAAGCTCACTAATTCATCTTCAACCTTCCCCTCCTTTTTTTTTTTTGTATCGCTCATCCACAATCAATTTGGTGGTTTATAAAGTAGCTCCCCCGTGCGCATTCAAGGAAAATCCAAAAGAAAATAAACAAGTCAATAGAGAAGAAATGAACGCACATACCTTTATACGCCTTTTTCGGCACGTCAGACAACCCGTTTTTGTTCGACGTTTTATTTCCTACGATGGCAAACAAACATCACCAGGTCAGTTGCCGATTAAACGATAATGATAATCCTAGGGGGGCAGCGTTATTCCAATTACCTTCTTGTGTCGACCGGCTAGCACGTTACCTGGTCCGCTTGGAGGTAAAGCATATTGCGGTCTTAGGGCGTCGGGGGGTAGGGCATACGGGTTGTTCGCAGCCATAGGTACCGGTTGCTGTGCGAAGTAGGACATGTGCTGCTGGCCCGGCATCGAGGGGACTGGGGGAACCGAGGGGACAGGATTTACAGGCATAGCCATCGCCAGATGCTGCTGTTGCTGAGCTTGCTGTTGAGCCGGATCGAATGTGCGCATACTTGGTAATGCCATAGCGTTGCTAGGAACGCTCGCGCTAGTCCGGTACGGATCCGGCCCTTGACCTGCTGGGTTCGCATATCCGTAGTGTGTAGTCGCCATTGCGGGCGTCGCATATGTCGTAGGATTTGGGTAACTGGCGGGCTGTCGAGGCGGCCCTTGGTGATGATGAGGTGGGTTATTCGACATGACTCTCGGTGATCGCGCAACAGCCTCTTGCTGTTGTTGTTCGTGTTGGGGCTGGGGCTGCTGCTCTGGCTTGTCGGGTAGAGCGCCGTTGGTGGCGACCGTCGCCGAAGATAGAGCAACCTGGTTAGCAGCGGGAGTAGTCGCAACGGGGCCAGGTGCGGGCGAGGCTGTTGCTGTCGTGGATATCGAAGTTGGTGTCGAGGTTTGTCCAACGCCGTCGGTGGTGGAGTGGTCCGAGAGAATCTGGTGTCCCTGCTCCCGTTCTTGATCCTTCTCCCGTTCCTTTTCTCGTACCCACTCCTGCTCCTGCGCGTGGGCGGCTGCTACTGTCGCCGTTGCATTATTTGCGGAATCTAAGTTTGGAGTTGGTGCGCGTGCGCTTGGGTGCGAGTGATCGAAATCATGAGCATCTGGCTCTGCCTGTGCTTGTACCTGTACTGCCTGTGCCTCTACCCGTACCTGTGCCTGTACCTGTACCTGTACCTGCCCCTGCGCCCCTGGGATATTTTCCTGCTCTTGCGTAGTTTGTGGTGATGGTGACTTGGCCCGCGATTGAAGTGGGAGGGCATGGGCTTGTTCTTCAGCAGCGGCAAGAACGGGTTCAGGCTGAGGTTGATGAGCCTGTGGCTGCTCCTGTTGTGCCTCTGCCATTTGGTTTGATTTTAATTTGCAATTTTTTATGGGGGCGCGATCTGAGCAGGGGCAAGCCGATTCCAAGGTGCGTGCTGCGTAAGGGGGGGCCAAGTCACGAAACCCGACCTAGGGCTGGCAGGGGACGGGGGGGTTCGTGCTTCGTAGACGTGAACGGAGACTGTGACGGGACGTATCTGGTCTGGTTCCAGCGCCTCGAACGGTAGGCGTAGCCCAGCCAGTCGAGCTTAGCTACCTGTTGTGTACTGCCTTGTCCGCCTGCCAGTTTCTGTATATCTGTACGTTAGGGTACGTATCGTATATGGTGGGTGCTAGGTTAGGTACGGGTGGGTGATGGATTGGGATGTACCTACGTAGGTACGTGCGTATTGTACTTTATGTATATAGGGACGGGAATGTATGGATGGGAAGTATGGATGTAGTGTATGTAGTGTATGTAGGTATGTAGTGGTAGTGATGTATGTAGTGTATGGATGTAAGCGCAAGCGTACCTAATGTATGTAGGTAGGTGACTATGCGTAGCCGAGACGAGAGGAACAAGGGGATCAGATCCCAAGTGAAGGGGGGTGTGGGGGTTCAGCATTCAGCAGACGAACAGACACACATAAAACGTACATAGAGAGACTAGATACATACGTAGAGGCGTACATACATAGTAGAAGCGGTACCTAGTATCGTATGTAGTGTAGTGAGTGTATGTAGTGTAGTGAGTGTATGTATTGTATAGTACGCAGTATGTAAGAGGCTGCAACTAGGTAGCAGTGCCCAGCATCCAGGCATCCAGCGTCCAGCCAGCCAGCACGACTGGTACGACCAGTACAATATACAATACAACAAGCACAACTGACAACCAGCAGATGCTAGTGTAGGAACGGCTGAGTGTTGTGCTGCAAGTAGTGGTGCGATGTTCGAGGTGTTTCGACGCGACCCTGGGCCGAGATTCCAGTTAGCTCAAGTCGTCGGCGCATTTGTTGCGTTTTCTCCGTAAAGAGGCCACTCGTTGCTCCTTTTGTCCTAGTGTCCGGTCCTGCAAGAAAAAAAAAAGCTTGCTCAGGCCTGAAGAAATTCGACAAGTACCTAAGACGAGGAAGGGAAATTGGAAGGAAAAAAAGATTGGCGAGACCGAATCCTGATGGAGCCCTGAGGCTGCTTTGGCGGTCCGTCGTGTGGTGTCGACGAATGTTACCTCTCTGTTTTTTGTTTTTTTTTTTTGCGATACGTACCTCACATATGATTTGAAGGAGGAAATAATATGTAAGATGAGACAGGACGAGAGAAAAAAAAAAGTTGTTGATGTACAGTTTTAGATGTACTGTGTGGACCTTAACGCAAGGTACCTGAATCCTGATCAAGCCCGGCTCACTTCCAAATTATAACACTTATGTAGGTATGTACTTGTGTACAGATGTGAATTACCACCTGTCGCGGAACTCAGGCCATGTAGCACACACTTTAATCCATCGTTTTATCGAGTAGGTGGTAGGTACCTTTAGGTGTTGTACATGCCTAAACCCTGCCTAACCGCCCCTTAAAATACCTCTATTATGTTAGCCTTATATGTCTAGTGAATGTTCTGCATATTTTCAATTCCCTACCTGACCTAACAAAGCAAATCATCAAAAATTATAGGCAAGGTACTTATACAGTAACAGTTTAGTGTGCTATAAACTGTATTAGTGATGATAATGATGCATGTTACAACCACAATGTAGGTACCCGTACACTCGTGTGGTTCAACAGTCCCTTTTTAACTACCTCTCATACATACTTACATACATACACACACACACACACTACAACTTGAAAAAATAGTAATAATAAATAAATAAAACAATAATAAAGGCTCGATTGGACGTGGAGATTGGCAGACCGGCTAGCACAAAAGCTACCTCCTACCTTCGTAGCGTTGGCCATGCAGAAAAATAGATCGATCCTTGGAACAGACCCTAATAACCATATGCATGCTTACCAAGTCTGACACGATAGGCACGTACATCCGCGGATATGATTGACGAAGCAGAACACAAGAAAGACCGATGCCGGTATCAGGGAAAAGCTGGAAAAGACGAGATGGAAAATATGACTCTACAGAGTGGTCAACTTATTTCTGAATTAACCCGACCATTGCGTCTTCGATAGGCAGGTATACCGTAACCATCTCAAGTCGCTTTTAAGCAAGGACGCCCTTTTTGAGAAACTTCGACGGCTTCAATAGACCGGAAAGGAAGCTCGGTGAGACCTAGGGCACCCACTCACACCATCCAATAACGTAGCCCAACGACGCGTCCGTGCAAAAAGATAGAGAGACGGGAAAACAAAAAGAGTTGACATTCGAAAGCCGTTGCCTCGAGTCTCTTACATAACTCCCTATCTCGCTACCTATCTCCCCTCGACCGGGGGCTATAAAAGCCAAATGCAGGTGTGCATGTACTATGCATATAAAACGAGAAATACAAAGTCAAGAAGGGCCGACGACTTCATAATTGAGGTTTCGAGTAGGATGGAAAAGAATTAACTGATAAGAGCAGATTAATGAGCATCCATCGAGTTATTACGAGTTATTAAGACCGAAGTATACCTACCTGCCTACCTAAAGGTATACATGGTATAGTTAGGTTGTTACCTACCTAGGTAGTTGTATAACAATGGAAGCGTGTGTAAGTTCGAGAACATCCTACCCTGGGTACTCCATGTATTGTATAATAAAACAGGTAACTATACGTAAAAATAGCAACAGGGCTTTGAGCAAGAAAGGGGTCGACGGGTTTAACAGCTCAACCTAACTGAAGGATGCGGTCTCAGATACTACCAGATACTACCATACATACTACGCAGCCAGTCACATCCGGCCTACGTACTCGTAAATCCTCTTCGATAAATAGGAATGACCCTTTCATGTCATCAGCAGCATGTCATGTCATAACTCTTCTTTTCGTAAAGATATGGGGAGGACTCGAGATGCGTCAGGAGTTGTCATCCACGAACCAAATTGCTACTCTACTTCGACTTTGCTACCTACTCAGCTGCTCAACTCCTTTATTCGCTACTCAACAATCTACATTTTACTCTAATCATGCACGTACATACACCTTACATTTCCGGCATGTCTGCGCGCTGTCGTATCCATGCAGTTGATATCAATTGTCCCCAATCGTTGACGTCGGAATTCTATGAACTGGAGACAGCGTATACATATATTCATCATGCCAGCATACCAGCTTTGTTTTCGCCGCACGCAATACTATGTACCAAAAGGTAAGGCAAGCCGCCACCATTACTACTACCCAGCTAACCACCACCACACTACTCTACTTTACCTGTCCAAGCTCGTCTTTTTTTTCAATTTCACTCCCGGATCAACAGGGGCTACGCCTATTTGGGGCGCAGCGGCGCGTGGGATGCTCGGTAAATAACCGGATTACGTCCCTCGTACCCTCGCACGAACGGGAGAGAGATATTCTCAACATCTCTCTTGAACCCCCAAATATTTTCAAGTTTACCCGCGTGCCGCTTGACTGACGATTCGACATGAGGTCATTTTCCATACTCGAAGGTATCCTATGCTAGTGGGGCCCCGGCTTCACATCAATCTTTCTTTTCCTTTTCTGTTTTTTTCTCTTTTTTTCGTTTCTTTTTCTCCTTACTATTGAGGAGATAACCGCGTCGATCCCATATGATTACAGGGGGGGGGGGGGGGGGGGGGGGGGCCCGGCCGCCCCCCGGCCGCGCGCCCGCGAGCCGCGCGCCC